GCATGTTTGGAGCATGAACACTGTTCAGCAGGGGTGATATAATTCTATAGCACAACAAGGGGTAAGAATAGAAAATGTAGAAAACCTCTCTGCAGTTTTTTTCATCCCAGGGAACGCAAAAGTACAGGTAGGACCAAGCAATTATTATGTTTGCCTGACTGCTTTGAACTTCACGTTAAGGGAAATAACAGTTAATCTTGAAACTTCATTCAAACTTGACCTTTTTCAATTCTGCATACAAAGAAAAGGTTAGATCCTCTTTGCAAGGTTTTGCTGCTGTCTGTGTCATTACAGGGAAGGTTTCACATCCGCTCCTGGTGACCACCAATGCATCACTCTTCATGTTTGTCCTGAAGTGTATACTCAATATACACGTATGGACATTTTCAATAGGGATCCAGTGACAATATCAGCACTATCAAAAGCTCCTTGTGGATTCTCCATACAGAATGCAAATAGAAGAACTTAACTCACAGCAAAGCCTGATGTTCACTGGGACGTGAGAGGAAGGATTTCACCTTTTCACACTCTCCACACCTTCCCCCTAAAACTAAAAAATATTGCGCAGCTCAGTGCACAGGCTTGTCATGATTCTTGCCAAGATGAAGTAACTCTTGAGCACATGTGTAAAATTTACATCATTAGGGCCCGGGCCAATCATGTGGCTGAAGAATCAGAACCCGTAAGAAGACTGGGATGAAGATGGGAATGCTGGTGAGGGAGAAGAGAGCTGACACTGCAGCACCTAAGGGAGAACGATTTGGCAGGTGAGACTGACGTGTATACTAATATGCTCTGCATACTAGAACATTATGACTAAAGGCTCCAGGAGCTCCCCTTTATTTTAAGTTTGATTTACTTCCACTTTACTACCTGTGAATTATTTCTATGAGTGGAGTAAAGCCCCCACAGCAAGCATGGGGTTTGGGATTCAGAGAATGGTATTCTGCCATCCAAAACAAAACAAGTCTTTTTTTTTTTCGGTGGAGCTGCTGATTTCCAGGCAGATCTAAAAATGTAAATGAATGTGATTATGCATTCGGTAAAAATGATTAAATGTATTTATAAATGCACCGAATAGGTTTATCTGAATATGTTTCGGTATCAACCTCTTATAAACCCAATAAAGTAAAACCCTGGCTGTGAGAGGTAAGGTCAGTACTCTGAGCCAATCAGACTATGCTGCACACACATGAGCCAAAAGGGACACACTAACAGAAGGACATGCCATGGTTGTTACTCAGGCTGGACTTCAAAATGTCTTCCTCTCTTCTTCATTACATGGGGGGGGGGGGGGTGTAGTTTACAGAAGGAAGTTACTCTTTTGTTCTTGATATTTTATAAATATAGATTTTAACTCCAGTAGAGAAAAAGCCAGGCCACCAACCTAGCTTGTCTGTCTAGCAGTACTATGTAAATCTAAGGATTGGATTGGATAGATACAAATTCTTTAGCAATAGCAGGTAACACTTTACCTACAGTATATTGGTGTATTAGACTGTTTGCCTGGGGTTCAGCAAAGTCAAGATTTGTTCCTAATATTAGGTTCAAAATCTATTGATTACATCTGTTGTCATACCCAAGTACCCTGCCCATAATCAATCTCCTTTGGGGAACATTATTCCAGGCCGCTGAATATTGTGATCAGTGCTCCTTTTAACAGAGTTTTGGCATGTTATAGCAATAGCAATTACAGCATCAATTATTAAACAGAATTCAAAAAGACATCTGGCTATTGTTGGGTGTCAAATACTCAGCTTTACAGCATAGAGAGAAAGGTTTACACTAAACAGAGAGAGAAGGGAAAGGGAGGAGATCCATTTATTGCATTGTGCCATTTCTACTTTTGAATTAAAAATAACACAGGGTGAAACAGAGCATTTTATATTTATGTAATGGAGCCATTTTCTCTAATATAAATAATTTTTGCTGTACAGTTTTATATAAATAATCTTAATCCTCCTGTCCCATCGCACTCCTGACCGGACAAAAACTCAAATCCAACTGGGTGGGTGCGGTAGTGACAACGGATGCCTCCGTGAAATGTAGATAGATGAAAGTAGTCACTCGCACTCCATGATATTAAAGTCAATGCTGTTTATTGACTGAGATAACACACATCTCCTTAGCGACGTTTCGAGACCATGAGAGTCACTCTGTTTGCCTGAGGACGGGACCGCATTGTCTCGAAACGTGGCTAAGGAGATGTGTGTTATCTCAGTCAATAAACAGCATTGACTTTAATATCATGGAGTGCGAGTGACTACTTTCATTTATATAAATAATCTTCTCAAGCTGTTATTTTTGTTAAAACCGTGTTCCTATGTATAGCTTTTTATTGATGACGTCCACAGGGACAGCCATAATTGCTCATTGTATATGCAGGCTGTTTCCTATTTAGTAGTCCTGTGTAGCCCCCCATCACCTTTGTGAGGTGGCTACTAGAAAGTTAGTGATTGCCAGGGCTGTAGTCACCCTGGCTGGATTATAGCTGGCATTTATTTGGTTAATTCTAGGTGTCTGGCATTGATTGTACCTACCTGAGTGGAGTGTGACTCGGCTGTATTGTGGGACGGCCTATGAGGGACGCTGTGAGTGTATGTACAGGACAGCAGCCAATCACTGGGTTTCTCCCAACCAGTGTTGCATGCTGGGATAGGGTACATACACTGGAGGGAATTGCCATGTTCTCAGTTCGGGACCAGCCCTGGATTAGTCCAGGTTGGGGTGCTGTCCAGCCTGCCCCCCCAGGCTAGGCCTGAGGCCTGCGGGTGGGCAGATGCTGGAGTGTGGAAAGTGTTTCCCTGGGCCCATGTATGGAGCAGGCCCGTGCTGTTGTCAGAGGAGGAGAACCAAAGAAGATGATGGCTACTGGAGGTGCCTGGAACATAGTGGACCTCAGGAGCAAGTCTGGTGTCTCTCCTGCTGAGGATCTGTGCTCATCCCTGCTCATCTGTTACTCGAATTCCTATTCAGTGAGCTATAAATGGATCTACACTGAGATGCTAGAATATGTCTGATGAGCCTGGAGTCTATGTCTGTTACACCCTGGATGTCTAGGATCCCTATACCCTCTATATCAGCTTTGTGGGCGGTTAAATGCTAATAGGGCACTTAAGACCAAATCCCCTAGACAACTAGTAATGACCTGGGTTATTCTGGCTGCTCCTTTGTGGGTGAACGCTACACCTTTAAAATGGTTCTGGCTTGATCTGACCGACTGAAAACAATGCATGCTATGCAGTCTTTAAGGATGTGAAACATCCTTAATGCACATAGTATACAGAAACTATGTAATGTGTGAGTAAGACTGGCAAAACACTGTTAGAATTTTAGCTGATTCACAGAATTCGGCTGATATTCTTACAACATGAAGTCCTACAGGCTTGACAAAAGTCAATTACTAAATCGACTTGTGTTATAGGAGCCAGGCTGACCATTGTCAGCTGAACAGTGAGTGCAGCCAATCATGTATTCTGACATTGGCAGGTGCCAGCTCTCAGAAAACAGCAACAACAACCCTGCACTATTATAAAAAAAATGGGAAAAAAGTATTGGTTGAAGTTAGTCCATATTACAATTAAATAATAATAATAATTATAACAGTAAAACGTTTAGCGTTTCCATAACATTCCATCGAATTATAACCACACAGATCTTCATAATAGTAGACAAATCTATATGCAAATCAGTGGTGTTCATGAGGACTTTTCACGTTCTATAAAAGGTTCAGAGTAATCGCAAATCAGTATTATAGTAAATATTTATAAGTGACATATTCACAATGTTTCTGCCCTCATATGCTATTTAAAATGATTATTGATTTTGCTAGGATGTTAATGTTCCTGATATATCTTCTACAGGATTTAGGATTGGAAACATTTCTAAATAGGACCATTTCTGCTATTTAACCCATTATCTTTAGAGATTCTAATGGGTTCTTAGTGAAAGGTAGCATTGCTAATGATAGATGATTACATCTTGTCTCTGCTATATATTCACACAATGAGCATCGTGGCGCCCTACATGGACCAGGGAACCTTTAAATGCACGTTAAAAAGAAGCCTTACCCTATCTACATTTTATATCCCAAATAATTAAAAATGAAACAAAATATATTTACTAATTCATTGAATCCAGTGTTGTCTTCATTGCAGGCAAAGTTCTTCCTGCGCCACTTTGCTCCCATGCTGCTATCTTGAAGCAAGATATCTACGCTTGTACAGACACACTATGGGTGCCTGGCAGGGAATTGGCAGAGACCTGCAGCATATAGTATGTTTATGGGCAAGATGCAGTTTACCTCCCTGTGGCATAGACATCCCAGGAGGCAACATGGGCAGACTATGTCTCCCCCCCCCCATTTTTTTTTTTTCTGCAACTGTGTAAGAGGGTGATTTTTCATGGGTGAAGGTCCACTTTAATATTAAGTATTTCAGTTATACAATATTAAGATGGTGATTTATACAGCATTCGCATAGTCAACAGCTATGTGAAAGAGACTCATGAGATTTATGGCAAGTAGATGGCGCCCAGGAACATAGGAAATTCCTATGCTCCTTGATCCTATCTAATGGCCATAATGCACTGTGAATCTTGTCCGCACAACTGATTGCTATACGAATACTTCATAAATGACCCCATAACTGTTTTCCTCTATAGGCATAAACAGATACCGACATAAAATCAATGCATCAGCAATCTGGTTTTTAATGAAAGATGTTTTGATAGGCAAATACATGCCCACAGTCTGGCTAGCTTCGGGAACTTTGTTGGTCTAAATATCTTGAAGCTAAATGCCAAAGCATTAGGTGGAAAGTATAATGTGTGGAAAAAATACATTTGATTACTGCATATCCAGTGACTGTTTCATAACTGCCAGAATTCCAGTAAGCCTGTGGGATTAGAGGTTGATCTTGTTATCTTTTCAGCCTTTACAAACAACGGTGGTGTAACATCAAGCAAACAGGAGGATAAACCAATAGGTCAGGCACCAGCAAGCCACACAGTAGACTGAAGCGCGTGTACTAGAGAGCAGAGATGAGAGCACTGCTGCTCCCAGCAATCCTGCTGCTGGGGGCAATCAATTCAGCCCTGTCTGCTGAAGGTAGGTACCCAATGGGATTTACTGGCTTACTCTACTTATAGAATGGACAAGACAGCAGCATCTTTGTGTCAGCAAATAACAGATATTGTAAAGGGATACAGAGGGAAATAGTTGTTTATTTATTTTGTTCTGTATTAAATAATACTTCCTTCACAATTCAAAGACCACAGTAATATGTAAGTGGGCATTCATTTTCAAATCTTTCCTGAACAAACTGAAGAGAGATGCTGATTGGTTGTCATGGGCAACTACTCCAGATTATGTTTGCTCCAGTTTTGATAAATTACCCCCCTCACTATTTATAAAAACTGGCTTTTATCTGGAAAAAATACAAATCAGCGAGCAAACTGTATGGATTACCATTCGGGGGTGGG